AGGCCAGTAAAGGCATACGACTGTATTGTCCTCAGTGTGCTTCTGATAACAAGCTCTCTCAACCGTCGCAAACCATAGAAACCATACGGTTCAATCTCTGTGACATCGTTCAAACTAAGATCTAAGTTTGTCACATTTTCAAGGCCTTCAAACATCCTACTTGTGACTGTGGCTATTCCATTCAAGCTCAGATCCAATTCTTCTAATTTTCCTAGAGCTTGAAACGTCCGAGGTTCGATTGTCTTCATACTATTACCGACTACGGACAAAGAGACTAGGTTCGTTAGACCTTGGAAGTCGTTTCTTTGTAGAACTGTGAGTGCATTTCTCGACAAATCAATGGACTTGACGCTCGGTGCTACAACATTTCTAGCTGTGGTAAAGAGATTGAAGGATAGATCGAGACGGATCAGAGAATTTAACCCTACGAAAGTTGCTTTGTCAATTTGTACGATGCCATTACTAGAGAGAGATAGCCGATGAAGATGCAGTAGCCCTTTGAACAGTCTAGGCGAAATGGTGTTCAAATTATTTGAGCTCAGATCTAGATATGTAAGGGCTTGTAGGGGATTGAACACGTTGTCTGGCAAAGTTTGGATATTGTTACTGCGCAAGTAAAGAATATCTAAGCTCTCGAGTCCGGCAAATGCATACTCGTCAATGGTGCTGATATTATTCGATCCCAAGACCAACTCAGTGAGGTTTTTTGAGTGTATCAAGAGGTTTGCCTTTAAGACCCTCACATCTGAGCTGTGGACACGTAGTTTCTGCAAACCAGGCAGTCGTCCGAAAGTTGTATTATCTATGGCAAAGTTGCCTGGACCTGTTTCAAATCGCAGCTTTTGTATCTTTGTATTTTGCAACTCTGGTAGTATCTTTTGCAATTGTGAAGAAGGAATGGTCGTTTTGCCAAGATCTAATGTTCTCAAATGCCGGAGCTGTAACAGAATTCCTTCTTCAAATATGGAAATCGGATTGTATCTCAAAATGAAGTCATGGATCGGTGCGTTCAATAGAGGAACTATATTTTGGAACAGGAACTGCTGTATTTCGTTGCTGCTCATGTAAATGGTATTAAGGGATGTCAGGTTTTTAAAGGACTGTGCGAATTTTGGAATGGAGAAGTAGTTTAGGCTTACGTCCAGTGTTCGCAGTCTCGCTAGTCCTGACCAGAGCTCCTCCTTTGCTAACACGTCATCACGAAGCCTGTTGTTCGACAGGTCCAGTAACACTAATTCTGACTGTGGATGGAAAAGTCGGCTGGGGAGGGTACTTATCTCATTATCGGTCATGTCCAGCCTCTGCAGTCTTTGCTGTCCACAAAACGCACACTCTCCGACAATGATGGCATTTGAGCTGGTGTCCAAGAAAGTCAGGTTGTGTAGGTCTCCGAACGTCCATCTGTTGAGTTGCTGCAAACGGTTGTCCGAGAGGACCAGAGTTTGTAAAGATGGGAGAGATGATGTGATGTTGAACCATTGAGCGTCTCCTAGACCATTTCTGGATAAGTTCAGCGTCCGCAAGTTTGTCAGCGAGTCAAATGTTCCGTTTTCTACATACTCGAAACGGGTCCAACTCAAATCTAAGTACTGCAGGCGCTTCAGAGCATCGAAAGAATGTCTACGCAGTTCTTTTAATCGGCTGTCCTGCAGATCCAAACGCAGAATGGTCGCAGGCAGGTCTAGCGGGACCTCGTTGAGATCGGTATGCGCGCATTTGACCTCCGTTGGACTCCATACCTGACATCCATGTGGATTGTCTGCATTTCCAACAGTCATTCCGGACAGGAGCCACACAGAAAGGCTGAGGAAGGCAACAGTCCACCACATCTTTCCAGCAAAATTAATTTAGAAAATGTCCAAAATCTGTCCAAGATTGTTCGAGGTACCAAGCTGATATTGTCCTTGCCCGGACCGGGAGTCACTTTACAGGCGATGGCGGCTAGCTAGAACTGGTCCCGCTGCACTCGATCCAACCAACAGACAACTATTCTCACCAAGCCACAACGGTGCAGCCTCAGGCTCGATCTTATAATCAAATGAACATTTCCACTAGCGCAGACAGTCACAGGGAAAGGCTTTGGCACATCGCCGAGAGGGACTATCAGTTGTTCTCAGTACAGTGTTAAACCCTTCGAAACTGAATCCAGAACAATAGGCTTCGTGCTCATACGTCATTTTGATATCTTATAGATAAGTGTTATTCATATAACTGTGAAAATGAAGCCATGTATGGAAACGACTTTCGTCGATGACTTAATCAGGAATACATCCAGGATGATAAATATGCTGTTCCTCTTTCAGCAATTCACAAAGCAGAAGCATTGAACTGCTGACAAGCTAAACTAGATTTTTACTGATGTTTGATGAGTTTAACAGGAACTTGTACTTGTACTTGTAACTTGTTCTTCTTTCAACAGTTCACCGTGAAAGCAGAAGCATTGAATTGCTGACAAGCTAAACGAGATTTTTTACTGAGGTTTGTTTGATTCAATTGTAGACCATAAAATCTTCATATATATATTTGCAGTTCTTTAGCCATTCACAAACGATTATGAACGCCAGTTTGTATACATAGTTAGCAAAACTTTTTTTTTTGTGTTTTGTACAAAGTTGAAAACGGAACAACACTAGAACAGCCAAAGTTTGTTCCTGTTCAAGATAATGTATTACAATTATAGTTGAAGTAAATCATTTCCTTCATGACTCATACTTCCTCATTCTTAACCACACAGATATGTAATAACGTTCTGGTTTCGGTTCTTCTGATAAGGTTGTGCAGTTTACCAAAATATCACAGTTTACGTGTACAGGTTGCTGTGACATTAAGGTGCGTCAAGCAACACCGTCGGTTAGATCAAATCAAGTCGGACTGTAAAGCTACCCAGGGTTTGACTCTAGTAGTCAGAAACAGATTAACTTGCTACTTGGATTTACCAACATCTTCTGACAGTTTTCTGGTAGATTCTCTGTCACAAAGATTTAGCGTGAAGATGTGGTTTGAAGCTTTTCTAGGCGTGTGCTGGTTCCTGTCACAAGAGGTAGTTCTATCTGTGGGACATGGAGACAGGCCTCACGGATGTCAGGTATGGAGCCCAACGGAGGTTGCATGCTCGTTCCTCGATGCTGTACCACCAGACTTGCCCCCATCAATTCTCCGCTTGAATCTACAACACAACAGCATACGTGAAGTCAACAGACAGTCTTTCGGTGCACTGGAGCACTTGGAATATCTAGATTTAAGCTGGAACCGTATCGAGTATGTAGAAAACGGAACATTTGGCTCGCTGACAAACTTGCGGACGCTGAACTTATCCGGCAATGGTCTAGGAGACGCTCAGTGGTCCAACATCACCTCGTCTCTTCTCTCTCTGCAAACTCTAGTCCTTTCAGACAACCGTCTGCAGCAACTCAACAGACGGTCGTTCAGAGGCCTACACAACCTGACTTTATTGGACATCAGCTCAAATGCCATCATTGTCGGAGAGTGTGCGTTTTGTGGACAGCAAAGACTACAGAGGATCGACATGACCGATAATGAGATAAGTACCCTCCCCAACAGACTTTTCCATCCACAGTCAGAATTAGAGTTACTGGACCTGTCCAACAACAGGCTTCGTGATGACGTGTTAGCAAAGGAGGAACTCTGGTCAGGACTAGCGAGACTGCGAACACTGGACGTAAGCCGAAATTACTTCTCCATTCCAACATTCGCACAGTCCTTTAGAAACCTGACATCCCTTAATACCATTTACATGTCCAGTACCAAAATGCAGCAGTTCCGCTTTCAAAATGTAGTTCCTCTATTGAACGCACCGATCCATGACTTCATTTTGAGTTACAATCCGATTTCCATATTTGAAGAAGGCATTCTGTTACAGCTCCGGCATTTGAGAACATTAGATCTTAGCCAAACGCCTATTCCATCTTCGCAATTGCTGAAGATATTACCAGAGTTGAAATATACAAAGATACAAAAGCTAGAATTGGGAACAGCCCCAGGCAACTTTGCCATAGACAATACAACTTTTGGACGACTGCCAGGTTTGGAGGAACTAAGTGTTTTCGGCTCAGACTTGAGTGTGTTAAAAGCAGAAGTCTTACGACATTCGAGAAACCTTACTGACCTAGACCTCAAAGCGAATAATATTACTATCATTGAAGAGAACGCGTTTATAGGATTAGAAAGCTTACAGAAACTACAACTTCAAAGAAACAATATCAAGACCTTACCAGAGCGCGTTTTTGACCCCCTACACGCTCTTACATATCTAGATTTGAGCTCAAATAATTTGAACACCATTCCACCTGCACTTTTCAAAAGGCTCTTAAATCTTCAAAGCCTATCTCTTGCCGGTAATGGCATCGTTCGAATTGATAACACAACGTTCGTGGGGTTGAATTCTCTAACCCATCTCGACCTATCCTTCAATCTGTTTACCACAGCTAGAAATGTTGTAGCACCTAGCCTCAAGTCTATTAATTTCAAAAGAAATCAAATCACTTCTCTGAAAGCAAATGAATTCTCTGGTCTTGGGAACTTAGTATCGTTGTCCTTAGAGGGTACCGGGATCGAGACAATTGAACCTCGTGCTTTCCAAGGTCTAGGTAAATTAAACCTACTTGATTTGAGTCAAAACAGACTCCGGACCATCACTAGTAGGATGTTTGAAGATCTTGAAAACGTGACCAAGATAAATCTAAGTTTAAACCTTCTATTGAGCGAAATTGAACCTTTTGGGTTTTATGGTCTGCGCCGGTTGAAAGCACTTGTCATCAGATACTATTTGTGGACTATTCACCCGCATGCCTTCGCTGGCCTGGATAGTTTAGTGTTCTTAGACCTCAGTCATAACCAAGTTTACAAAGTAGGAAGACATGCATTTGACGGCCTACATAACTTAAAGAGATTTCATTTGGTTAAGACTAAAATCGCCGTCTTCGAAGAGGAGACATTTGGGCACGTCATTCGGCAAGCCAATCGCATTCGGTTCGAAGAGAATCCGTTCTTCTGTGACTGTAGGCTTCTCTGGTTCGCGGAATGGGCGAGGGACAATCCAGATAACCTATTTTTCTTTAGTCTTGAGTGGTACAAGTGTGCCGGGCCTCCGGAATACGCAGGAACAAGACTAGAAAACTTTTACATCAACTGTACGACGCCTACTCCGGACACAGAGTTCCAGCCTAACCTGCCGCTAGCCTGTGCATTCTCCTCTTCAGCGGTTCTGTTGTACATGTTAGCGGCGTTCCTGGTCAGCTATCACCGCTGGAAGATTAAGTACCTCATGTTTCTGCTGAGACGTAGAAACGAAGACGAAGAACCCATGAGAGGCCGTAGGTTTGTGTACGACGCCTTCGTAGCACATAACAGCGAAGACACGAGGTGGGTGGTGCGCGAACTGTGCCACAACTTGGAAAACGTCGAAGACCAACCCAGATACAAACTCTGTATCCACCAGAGAAACTTCTTACCCGGTGCCCCCATTGTAAACAACATCGTCAAAGCCATCGAAACCAGCCGAAAAACCATCTGCGTGTTGACCAGGAGCTTCCTGCGGAGCGGCTGGTGTGAGTTCGAGCTGCAGCTGGCTCAGACTCCCGACAACCTGTTCGGCAAGGGCGGCAGTTGTCGGCTGATCCTCGTCTTCTTGGAGGAGATTCCGCGGCCGCTGCTGAAGAAGTACCGGCACCTGGAGGCCGTGATGGACCGGGACACGTACCTGGAGTGGCCGGGGGACGTGCGGGGCAGGCCGCTGTTCTGGAGACGCCTGCGGGCCGCCTTGGGGAAACCCGTGAACGCGGAACGGGCTGGAGACCGCCGCATGAGGGACGACGAACAACACGAACTCGTACCGTTGTTAAGAGTGTGACAAATTAGAGAGTGTTGTGTAGCCGGTGTTCCACAATTTTTGCTCCATCTTCCCGATTTTTTAATTGTATATTTTACCATTATGTACACATGGCAGGACGTTATATTCTTATTTCTACTCTTGCGTTTTAGACTGTTCAGTATTACCAAGGACATTATACAGAAGTTGTATGAGTTGTTTGAGTCAATTTTATAGTATAATGCACAATGTACATAGAATCATATAAAGAGGAACACTGTGATTGCATGCAATATACATGTATATTGAGGAAAGATATATGAATAAGATAGGTATAAACTGCGCTGTGATCAACACAAAGCTTAAAGCAGGACGATTTTCAGTAGTTGTGTGATGCAAGCAACGTTACGCTATGTATATAGGAACATTAAAATCCATAAAACTTGTATTATTTTGTCAAATTTATCTTTAGTGCATCATATTTCCCTACTTCTCGCCGCCCAAAAATAGAGAACAACTGAGTGTCTAGGGCGCCGCTTAGCGGATTACAAAAGCACGGCAACATACAGTATACTAGTACTACATGCAGTACATTGTATACATTGCTTCGGAGATTAAATTTTATACTCAGAAGGCTTAAACTTTTTCCGTGTCTCGCAGATCCCAAAACTTTGAATGGCCTTCACCACCCCACCCCCAATTCCCTATTTCTTGTGCACGATACTAGTAGCTAGTTTACTCGGTAGTGTATATACATACAGCAGTGCTGTCGTGCATTCAAGTGTATGGGATGATTGGGATCATCTTGTCATGATTCAGTGTATACATATCGTTTGACTTGTTGAGAAGTATCATAATGATTTCTACGCAGGAGTCAGTAGCAAGCCTGTGACGAATATAGCCTCTTAGTCAAACTTTTCTGGCGGTCTGTACTTGTTTCTTTTAACGTGGCGGTTTCTTTTCTCTGGGGTCGAAGGCCGGCAGAAAGGTCTATGCAGGAGGCTAATTCTATTACATGTATTAGATAGGATCGATACTGTACCGGAGTTTTAGGTGCATGTAGCTACGCCATGCGTTTGTATTCTGTATCAGGTTGCGGGTATTCAAGATTCTTAGCAAGGACAAAATGCTGGCAAAACGACTGCTTCGCAGAACAAAATGGCAAAGGATAGATAACACAGCATAATTAGTTATCTAATAGGTGATGAGAGGGCAGAAAAATACGCAGGTGGCCCCTTCACACTTAAATCCGTTAAAACCTGCTCGAGTGTCTCACTAGTTCATGTCAAAACCCTCGTCAAAACAATTAACACAAGTGAAAGCGCCTTTTCTGCGTCCGTTCACGCAGTCACAATATCCTTAGAATAACTCAGTACAGGCGAGCGTGTCGAACAAAGGCGTCAGGTGACGATATCCATCCCGCCTTTCAATGGATTACCTGTCGCGAAAGTTGGTCCCCATAGCGACCACCAAGGTGACCTGAGGCTACACAAAGCTGGCCGCCCGTCCAACAATACGCCCGGTATCTCTACACCGTGTTTTGAGATCGCGTTTCTCCCCTCGACCTAGGTAATTTTGCACCCTCGCACGCTAGCTATTATCTTAAATTATTTTTGTAGGATACATTTTCCCCGCAAAGTTAACTATCTCGGACACCCCGGAGTGAAGTGGGCAGGCTTGTTCAAACACTCCAGCGGAGAGGGAGGCTCTCGGGCGCTGTCTGCTCCACTCGTCTCACTTTTCCGTCATCCTTCCGCCCAGCCTCGCAGGTAAGGCATCGTTAAACACCTGAAGACGCACGCACAAGACAAAAATCGTTATTTGCTACAAATCCTTTGTGAGCGCGGTGCCGTGTGTGTTATGGATGCTTGAAGACATTATTGAGGTGCTATTGATTTGTGCAAAGCTGTCGGGCGGAGCCGTTTTTCAGGCTTTGTTGCTTCATTGATTTGTCTTGTCCCGCTACAAGCCAGCGGTTTAAGACAGTTTATATTCACTGATATAATAGGACGGTTGGAGGCATAGAAAAAACCGAACGGCCAGCTCGGGTGAGGCGTAATTGCCTTATTCTATTTGTTGTCGGCACGCCCTACTTATTTTTTAAAGTGGGACATGCCGTTGGTAGGGTCTTCTTTGAAAAGATAAAGCGGGACAGAATAGATAAAGAACGATAGGATATTCCCTCTTAAGAGCATCCTAATAATATCTGCTTTTAGACTAGGATATTTCAGATATTCGCTTTCTTTTCCGCACGTTTTGTGACCCAGGGATTTGTTGTGCGGAACTGTTGCAACACTTTTTGTCCTGCGTAGTTTGTTCGCCGCCGTCTGTATAAGTAAAAGCTACCGGTCCTTTTGTGGGGAAAGAATGTTGATTGAAAGATACGTCGCCACTTCGGATAGAATCAACTACACGCAAATACTTTTAACTTTTGTGACATCGCACGGATTTCGCCTACATGTAAAGGCTTTCGCAGAAAGAAAACACCATGTTGCTATTTTGAGTACGAATGCTCAAACCTAACACGCTCCATAAAATTAATACTTAAACGTTAAATGGCTGGAACGGTGACCCGAGTTTTCACTTATGCATCCTTCTTCCAACTGAAAGGTTTTCAAAATTTTTTGAACTGACATAAGAGCAAACTATTGAAAGGGTGTACGTGGGACAAACAGTGCAACGGTACCTGGCCATAAATTACCCCTTATAACCGATATTGTTTGACCGTGCACTAGCAGCAGAAACAAACATGGTATAGCGCACGCTGCGAAAAGAAGCAAGTGCCCCAAACTGTCCAATTTGAGGAGATCTAGATAGAACGGCTTTTTATGCAATTTAAGAGAAATTATGCCAATTTTTCTGATCCTTGCAGTACCCTTTGTAACATAGCGGTGTCCTTGTCAAAACGCACGACTCGACGGTTGCTATGCAACCATTTTGTGACGTTTAATGACATTCCGCCGCGCTAGGGACAAAGTCTGTGGATCAACCATAATCTCAAACTCATCTTATCTTATCTCTTCCGAGCTGAATAGCCTGGTTACGGTACAACACATTTTCTGGGGTCGCGGAAAAGACCTATTAAGACCATTATTACATCTTTACTCGTCTTGTTAAAATATTACAGAAGTGATTTATTTTTTTTTTACCGCAAGGAGGCCGTGCCTTGACTTAACCATGATGTGTAACATTGATTGACGTCGCCCTACAGACTCGAGTGTTCTATTTACATTCAATAAGCAGAACGTTTGAACGTAATTAAACAACAAACAGGTCCTTTTGTTGTTCTGACAACCTTAAAGGTTTTGTTGACAGACCTTTTTTTTCATTTAGGTAGAGTAGTTTTTATCCAAATATCTTCTAAACGGCAGTAGCTTTCATGTGCATATGTGTGGTGAGGGGTTAGAGAAACGGCCAGCTTGTAAGTGTTTAAAAACTCCTCTAGATCTGGAAATAACGAGGGCAACGCTAGCACGGTTCCCGTTGGTAGGCCGCGAGGGCCAGCCGGGCCTACGGCAAGATCACCTTGCCCCTGTTAAGCCTCGGGCCTCTTTTCAATTAGCCGCTTTGTGTCAACACGGCGACAATGATCCGAGCCCGCCTTTGGTAAAGGTATATGTTTACCGGCCAGACGGAGTTTGGCAACTGACAGACGCTGCCACCCGCCTTTTATTTGCCGAGGCAAAAGGTATTTCTCTCCTAAATTCCTGCTTTAGGGCTTGTTTTGCAAACTGACGTTACAGTCAGGCAAGCGGGGGAGGTGTAAACGTGTTTGTCAGGATTGACAGGAGGTTGGAACGAGGTAGTTGCTAACGACGCTCTGTGCATAGCAACGGGTGGCAGGTGTCTGGCGGGTGATGTGCAGATTTGGTGGGCTGTGTTGGCACAACGTTGAGGTGTACACGTACACACAGTCAGGGCTTCACCCTCCCAAGTTACACGTCAGAGTACGCGCTGGTTTTGTAAGCTCTTGTTTGCCAAAGCGTGCTTCCCACGCATGTAGGAACTGGAGTTTAATAGCACCTAGCCATACAGTTCTCAATACGTCAAATGGGAGTGACAACAATCTGTAACTGTTGCTTAAGTTGTAGCGCTTCTCGTGTTTGCGTCAAAACTTGTAGTCTAACTTCTGCGTATTTTTTCTCCGTGGCTGTGGTGGCAGGTCTGCTTGCAGACCAGTGAGACACCGGGGCGCACCCCCAGGACAACCTATGCGGACTCCAAGCGCTGTGCAGGAGATAGAGCGGCAACAACATCTCGCCACTAACACTCACGGCGTGTAAGTACATGCATAGATAGATAGATAGATAGATAGGTACATACATACATACATACATATACACATGCACACAGACAAAACACATACATACACAGGTGTACGTATACACACTCATGGATACACATGCATACACACACACATACACATACACACACACATGCACACATACACACACACACATACACACACACAGAGAGAAAGAAAGAAAAGCTTAAGGCACAATGAGAGAGAGACAGACAGGCAGGCAGACAGGCAGTCAGAGAAACACAGAGACTAGCTTGCATGATAAACTGTAGTTTGTAGTTACGTCGATGAAGGTTAGTTTGTAGTTATAGATACATGTACTTTGTAGATACACGTGCATGCATGGGGGCAGGGTTTTATAAGGCGTAAGCTGTTGGGAAAGGTAACATCGTGTGTCAATGTGCACGTAGGTTAGCCAAGGTCATAGCATGGCAGGAGGTCGAACTGCTTGATGAGACCCGGTCCTGGCCCCAGAACAAACAACTATAATCTTAACACAGGAAACAATATATCAATCACAAATACTACAAGTGGTGTATCACCCTAGTTCCGCGCCAAATATAGCACTCGTAAAATACTCCAGTTTTCCTCAAAAGCACGAAATGAGGTCAGCGTCTGAGATATATATAAACAATGCTACAATAGCGTACAATGAATCGCATCTTTATAGCACACCATTTATAGAATTGGCAAAGTTTATACATATACACATACGCCTGGGTGGTCTTTGTAATATCTGAGATACAAACTACAACGTATGTTGTACTCTCCCGTGCGTGGGGTGCTTTTTCTCGTGTAAAGTGGTGCTTCAGACACTCCCTGTGCCCCACCTGATGTTGTGATTGTTCCTCAGGTGTTTTGAAAGCAAAGATATGACCGTTATCTACCGTATAAATCACAAAACCCGTACCTAGCACTACCGTATACTTGAGACTGTGTTAAGAGTCTTACTCGTGCGGCGTAGTGTTGGTGCTCTTGACTGGGTATCGTGTTCTTGTAGTACTAGTCCTCGTGTTGGACCCTGCATGTTTGCGATGCTACGCACTACAGACGCTTGTTGCTGCAAGGATTCAAGGTTTGGTGCACAACAAATAAGAAATTAATAAGTCATGAACTTCGCTTAGGCTGTGTGTAAACTTGGCGTTATGGTGACTTAGCATACAGGCATCGTTAAGAAAATATTTTACGATTGTGATGTTGGAGAGTGTTTTGTTCTATCGTCTTTCTGAAGATGTTGAAGAATATGCTAACTAAACGAAAAGCATCGTTTTGAGGGTACCGGTTCACATAGAAACTGTATTAGAAACACAGTGTAGAGTGGGGTGCTAACCGACATCTCTCACACCGCAGTTGTCCTTCAGTAAGACATCTGGAGCCGCATAGTTTAGAGCCGTTTAGAACTTTCCTTCAGCCTATATAAGAATTAAGCACGTGCACGGTTTACAAAACAACACAATCCAGTAGTTTTGGACACAGAAGACTGTTGTTATACAGTGTGGAATAACTTTGCTTTACGTGAGTGTATGTTATTGTTGACACACACATTCCTCTGAACTCCATAATATATTAATCATTATATGTAAACTCTGGGATTATGTGGATTACACGTTATTTTGGTTTGGCAATGTAGAAGAAAAATGAGAAATACGGGAGCATTGTTCTCAATAAGTGTTCCAAGGCCTCTAGGGTAACCTCCCGTTTATCATAATTAGTATAATGTGTATAATTACCAACGCCCCCATTACGATAAGACAGCTGAAACAAAGCACGCTCTCTTTGAGATTTCTCAGTAATGCTTTCTTTGTCAGGCATTTGCTCTGCTGGTATTTTTCAATTGTACGATACCGTACCTCGACCTAGTGTCCAAGCAGATCATCATATAGCTGCAGGGCAGTACCCATTGGACAGAGGAGTGACCACTATCATACACCTAATGGTCACACACACGATTCTCTGACCAATGGATACTGCCTTGTCATGTATGATCTGCTTGGAGATTACGTCGACGCCCCTTTAGACATTAGCCCCTGGTCAAAAGTGACTGTGCAAGAAAAAGGTCCGGTCTGTTTAGCAATTTAATTCACAGACAATTACACATAGGATCTATTGTTTCTTTGCTTCTTTTAATAAGCACTCTGCGAAGAAGAACTGCTAGTGATATATTACCTGGATTAAAAAATGATGTCTGTTCTCTGAAGCGCGCAGGAAAACTGGTTGTACGTTTCGGCCGTCCTTGTAGCTGCGAAGCCCCAACTCGTTTATTTGTGGAGAGGCACGTATGAGTGGATTACGTTGGATTAGCGATGTTGACAATCTCTTCACTTAACTCAGGTGTTTAGGACTAGGATATTACTGGATTACTGTGCTATAGAAGCACAGGTGCGGTTGTTCGAACGACATAGCCCAAGGAATAAAATTCGCTCTCCCAAATCAGTATTCTCTCGCTTTCTTACACTGAGGACGTCCAATTCTTAACCATATCTTACCATTACAGAGCTCAGTACACTCTAAGAGACTAGGAATTAAAAAGATATGATACTCTTGTGCAAAGGTCACCAAGAAAAGACTCGAAGAGAAAAATGCTGTAACAGTTACACGTACGGAAGAGTTTAGGGCTGGAAATATGTTATTTTGTATTGTGTTATTACGTATCTATTCTGCTTTGTGCATGTGGACGCGTGTGTCACTAGCACCGTCAAATGTCTTAGCAACAAGAAAAGTGACAAGAAAATCCAAGACCTCATTTCGTGCCCATCTTATCATACGGTATCAAAATTGCTCACAAATCGTGTACCCGCGTTTAGGCTAGCCCCCCAGGTTGCTAAGCGACAGTACTGACTTACAGAAGTGTGCCAACATGGCGGGTATCCACCCTAACGCCCGGGACAAAACCTCGCACAAGCACCCTGACACAGACAAAACTGACCAAACACGCGCCTTTGTGCGATGGTCATTCATTAATAATACGCCGAGAGAAAAAAATCGATAAATCAAAGGCTCGGGGATTATTGTGTTCATTTTATCTTCATGTGCACACTGGCTGTTGCTATGTGGAGTTTCAAAGCGAACAATGGACCGGCAATTTTCTTTTGGGGAAGTTAAGTATGTGATGAAATGTGGATTTTGTCAGGCAAGGCTTTCAGTAGAATAAATATAGGAGCACTTCTCAACACCTTTTTATTTTGGACATTGATATACGGATTTTGGTGTAACCACCCTCCTTCAATGACTACGTCGTTCTGTAGCCCGAAGTTAACGGTTATATATCTTTTACTCAACAATGGCAGACTGTTCAATGATTGTTATTTATTTCTCTGATTGTAATTTAGACAGGTTGTTTACTTTTGTGTCTTGACAATAGGAGACGCTTGGTAACCAGGTTTCTATACATACAGTATAGTCCTGAGTCAAATTCAATGTTTTATTTTACTCCAGTCTCTCTCTGTAGCTGTATAATGTTTACAAGTCAAGTTGAACTGTGACGTACTATTCTCGATTACAACCTTGAGCGTTTTTATAAAGGCAAACAACATATGAAGAACGTTATAGCCTTTGTGTACATATTTTAAATGAAGAAAAACTAACGTAGGGGCATGATCGAATTTTTAATGATTATTGTAAAGACGAGATAAAAGAAGAAGTCGCCAGGGAAATCAGACAGTCATTATTACAGTTTTGTACTTTGATTGATCGTAGAAAACATTGCCTAAGAGCGTCGGTGACGGCTAGTGCCATTTCTTAAAAGCTCAACAGTAGTACACAACCTAGAACACTTAAAGGACAAGTCTAGTGTTTTAACGTAGTTATGATGCGGAGTGTTGGTTAGTCAATACTTTTCTCCAGTTCGTTAGCGTCTCCTTGAAGAAATTATTCGACTCGCCGGTCGCTTTGAGACTGCAGACGATCGATCTCCGTCCTGAATGGCCTGATGATCACCTTTATTACACATGAAAGGGCCGGACCGACATGCTTTGCAGAACGAGACGTAACCTGTCTCTTAAGGTTGTAGTCAGGTCTTCAATAAAGGATGACATTCTCTCCAAGCAGATGTTTGGGTAAACCTTAAAGGCCCAAAATCAACCAATACAATCATCTATACCCCACCTGCCAAATATCATCGTATTCCGCCCGACAGATTCTGAGATATACACCAAAACATAATCCAGACTGAAAACAATACACCCATTTCCATTTTATGGAGTGTAAAAAAGCAAGGCCTAAGACACGCCAAAATAAGCGGCAGCCTGAACCTCTACTTGGAGAGTAGGATGACATGACCCGGTGTAACAGTCCAAAGTGTACACTATCAAATCACACCCTGATACAATCTGATAGTGGTATAGTTAGGGAGACAAAGAGAGCAGTATACACAGTAGCTCTGATAGAACTGGCATGAAACAAATAAGGCTCGATAAATATGCCACTATGTGATATGTTTAGCCCCTACAAATTTTAATTTGCTAGTCAGGATACGTGCTGGTCTCAATAAGAAGTCGATTTCTAAAGATATCATTCTTCCTTAAGTCTAGACTTCACAGTATTGAACTGTAATTAAACACGGCTAAGCCTTGATCAGTGACAAGCTATGCAGAGTCTTTGTGATTGCGCCGGTGTTAATTAAAAGCTAACGATTGTATGGAACGGTCTGACGGTTCGATGGTCGGCCAAGGCCGCTGCACACTCGTAATCGTCTCCCGGTGACGATAGAAATGCGACGTGCGGTCTCCAACATTCTCCAGCCCAATCCACACACAATCTGTGGCCCAATATGTAGTCAGGAGGTAATTTGGGACGAGGTTTCAAAGGATGAAAGTGTTGTCAATATACAATCAACTCCAAGTGTTGGTATGTCGTCCACTTTGAGTACATTACACATGCAAGCAACCTGCGCAAGTTAGTGGTAGACGAATAAGGTAATTTCAAAGATACGCGGTGTTATATTAGCGTTGTTTTTACGGAGTTAGGCTCTGTTTCTC